TTCATCCAAATATTGACGTTAGGTACTTCATAAATTACTTAGAAAAAATCGAAATAAAAATGAAACTTCTACACCCTGTATCTCCAAAACTAAGCATTTTAGGACATACATTTATACAAACTTTTTTACTTATTTTTATCTGCAGAATATGCTGCCGAAGTTTCCGGAATACAGTTCGGACTTTATAGAAGAAACATTAAAAATATGACAGGTGGCAATATTATCCCAAGGATTTGCACCCCTGTATTGGCAGGGATCAGAGAACTAATGTAAGTAAACTAAGGTAAAAAAGGTCTCTCAATACCACTAGCTATAAAAATGTATAAAGTTTTTAAAAAATCCTCCTTTATTTCAAACTTTCAATATCAAAATAATTTTGTCCGCCACTGGCTAAGTATGATGTGGATTTAATATCGTAAATTTCCCTTTGGCTAAAGTTTGAGTTTGAGTCCTACATTATTGATAAGTCAATAAGCAACTCCGCGCCGATAATAAAGACCTTAAATGAAAATCTTGTAAGTCTTCAGTAAATCTAGCTATCGATCCGTTTGAACTACTTTCCTATAGGGCACGATAAAAAATCCAGTTAAAAAGGATTTAAGTATACGCAAACTCGTCTATAATAATGTATTTACGATAAATATAATAAATATTTAGTAGGTATATCAGGAGTTTTTTTTCAAGGCATCATAAGGTTTCGAACAATATAATGATTTTCAAATATTGGTTCATTTTAATGATAAAACTGGTCAGCTAACTTTGTAGTTCGTCTAAAGATGCGCAATCCGATTTTGATTAATCTTTATGAACAGTTTTTTTATTTGATTTTCCTCTTTTGAATTGCGAAGGAAGTGTGAAGACAAAAATAATTGAACATGAAGAAAACAACAATAACTTGAATGTTCTTCATGTTGAAGAAAAGAAAAACATTGACTCCCGTCTATTGGGATTACAGTAGAAAAATACCACAGGATCTTTCGTCGAAAGACTTCTTCCGTGGAGAACACTCAAAAATCGTCTTTAGGAGCATATTAAATCCAGAAATTTAGATGAACTGAAAACGACATCTCTGTGGAATGCTAAACATTCTCCCCTTAACAGCTTTGTATTGTGGGGCGTCAATTTTATAATCATTTAGGGTATTGTTTTGCTGTGAATGGGGGAATATGTAAACATTTTATTAAGTAGTATAGTTTAATAAAATTTCTTTAGTTACAAATATTTATTTTATTTCTTAAATTCCATTAAATTGTGAATATATGTGGTATGAGCGAGACCTATGAGTGATCGAGTAATGTACAGCAATCAACTCATACTCCGCGAATACTATTCTTATAGTTCAACGACATCGTACTAATTCTTTTGTACATGATCATTCCAATTCAGAAAAAAATAACATCCTTTCCAAACCATATAAAATCTTGTAAACAAAAAAATGCAACATCGAATTTGACAATGACAAAATCATATTTTAGCTGGTATTTTGTTGTAGCTTTCTCTGTGCCGTATTATAAGTTTTTCGTAATTTGAAGGTAGATTTTTGTAAATAACATTTAAATGCCTTTTCCAAATGAAACGAAATTCTAGACGAAAGTACAACTTTAACGCCTCTTCAAAAAAGTCTAATAGAACTTTTGCATAAAATCATCCGGGGAGATAATATTTGACCTTTTCAAAATTTACATGGGATTTCCTATGTCCCGTGCCCGTGTTCCGATGTACCACACGGTATAGCCAAGGATGCAAGTGTGTTCAGTGAGAAGTTAATTTTGAGTGGAGACGAATCCAACAAATCAGTCCATCATTAAATCATTATCATTAAAATCCAGTCCATCATTAAAATCGGTCCAGCCATGCTTGAGTTATAAATGGTGTAACCAACCCGAATTTATTTTATTTATTTAGATTTTGGCTTCAAAAAATACCAGGTTCTCTTATTAATTTGCAGGATTTATTGATAGTACATATTTATTCATTCAAGTAAATTAATAAATAAATATAGCTTGTATAAGTTCGAAAGATGTTTTATTACATTTAGTAGAGTTGTTTGTAAATAGGAACATAAACAAATTAAACGTTAAAAAGACCTAATGCAATATGCATGTTCGACAGAATCTAAAAGAGGAATTATGTAAATGAAAAACTGTAATTTAACGATGAACAAATGACTTTATCTTTGAAGAGAGAATTTGTAATCGAATTGATTGAAAAGGTCTTTTAAGTGCAGTAAACAGCAAAATTTATAAATATACAGATAGATTCCGTTAATAATGTATTTCGTAATGACCTAAAATTACGGTAGCAAGTCTTTCATGAATTGCATAGAAATTAGATAAAAATGAAGGATTTTTTTCAAAATAATGTTGAGGAGGGGTGCACCCATACACTTATTAATTGGGTTGGTATTATTATACAACTTACAATTCCATACGAGACGTTTCAGAAAAAATAAGAACGATAGGAAAACAATAAACCATACTGTAACGTTTTTAGTTCGTTACATGTTTTTGATTATGATATATGATGTCTGGCGTATCATCACCGGATTCCCTATCGTTCCGGCCGGATAATTTATTTGACGAATTTTTGCGTTCTCTAGTCCACAACCCTGTTATCGTTTGACACAACCCTGTTATCGCTCTGTGGAGGCGCTGTCAACGTCGCTTCTGTCAACTCTCTGTGCTGTCGACTGACTTTTTTTTAGCGCTCTGTAGCCTAACCTAACCATCCCGGCTTTTAGAAATGGTGATTATTTAAATCTTGCTGTATAATCTGAATCAGCTGTCATTTCGAAGCTACAGGTAAAGATGAGTTATTATCTTTTATAGATTCGATATTATTATTGAATATTTTTAGGGTAGAGTTTTGGATGTCCCAACCTAACTTGTATTTGTATTTTGCTGGCACGTTGGCGTCCCTTTTCTTTTGTCCTCCAGAATGTCACATGGAAGAAAGGACATGTTCTTTATTATTTAGTGAGCCCTCGGAAGTAATTCGAGGTAGGTTCATTTTGTTTATTAGACCTTGTTTGATTTTAAACAAGAGTTTCGTATTTTTAGGGTCCAAGGTACGGACTATTTACAAGGTACGGGCATTATTCAAGGTCCTAGTAGTATCCAAGGTACGGGTAGTGTTCCCCTGTACCGTTGTCTTATGAACGGACTGTATCCAAGGTTATGGTCCAAGCTTATGGCCCAGGTTACGGACATTATCCAAGGTCCTAGTAGTGTTCCAAGGTACGGGTAGTGTCCCCATATTGCCACAGTATGGATACAGCGTAAGCCCCATGCTGCTTTGCTCCCATTTTTAAGCCTAGTCAGTAGCTACGGCTGTAGTGATTCATGGTGTCCTCATTCTGGCACCTTTTGTTGTTTTGGCCAACGGGATCGCCGACAGACAGTACAGAGATGCGAGACCACCTTACGCTGCTACTGTTTGAAGCAAGATTACATAAAGAACAGCTAAGTGTTGATTTACGTTCTAGTTTTTATGTTTTAGATTTTCTATATTTTCAGTCTTAAACAATAACGTACATTTTAAATAATATTGTACAGACTATATTTAGTGGTTAGATTATTAAGAACATTTATGTCGATTTAATAGTTACAATGTAATTTAGATTTTAGGTTTCACTATATTACGCCTTGTAATAGTATTACTTTTTTATAGATATTATTATTGCACTAACATCATATAAAATATATCAAATTAATTAAAGTAATGCTACATTTCATATATTCTCTTAAACTTTACATGTCTTGTATTTTATCATAGTTGTTTTCATAGATATTTAGTACAATTCTTAACACCACTTTCGTTGACATATAACCACTATAATAATTATTAAAATTGTACAATGCTATTTACCATCACAGTCCATCATGAATAAATATAGTCATTAGTTTTAAGTAATATACAACTGTGTTTTCTTTCTCTGTACATGCCTGGCGCCCAATATCTGTATTTTTTTGTTTATTGTTATTGATTAGTTTTCTCTCTACTGAAATACCTTATCCACGACTGCTCTCCGATGAAAAGCTGCCGTTCGCAGTGGTAATGTTTTATAAAAAACGCTACAATACGAACATCTTTCAAAACACAAAATACACATAGGTCCATTTTATCACACACTAAACCAATGAATACTGAACAACAAACAAAAAATGTAATATACAAAATACCATGCGAATGCGATAAATTTTATATTGGTGAAACATCTAGACCCTTAAATGTTCGAATTAAAGAACATAAAGATTATTTAAGAAAGGGCGACTTTCACAAATCTAAGATTTGTCAGCATTCATTGGATACAGGGCACAGAATAGATTTTAACAACGCCAAAATTATAATGAAAGAAGCGATAGACTCTAAAATAAAGTAAGAGGCTTTTTTAATACAATCTAATAAAAATATTTTGCTCATGTTTCTGTACAGTACATCTGCTGGATCTGTGTCTATGAAAGGAATGCGGACAAAAAACTTTTAAATAAACAGCAATATATTTTATACGTCGACTTGACGAGTACGTCACCGCAAATCTCTCCGCCCACTCATTTTATTGGCTACTTGCAAATTTGTCGAATTTTTATTGATGGGACGCGTCGTCTAATTTTTTACGAAAAACATATCGAGAGAATATCGTTTCCCCTCTCACGGTTACCCCGTAGCTACAGAACGGACAGACGTACTGTATATGTTTAGTAATGAATGGCAATTTTTTCTTTGGTTTTAAAGAACATAACATACATAAACATAACATACGTAAAAATTAAAAACAAATGTAAAAATAAACAGATTAATTAACATCACGTATCGGGCTTTTCAATCACAGAAAAGCTCATGAAAGAAAACGCCTTGCGTGACAACCTTCTGATGTGTGCCAAGTACTCGTCAGCGAGTAATGGCAGTATATACGTACGTATCTGTAATGCATTTTAAAAGTTATGTATCCAAACCCAAAGTCCATCCATTTTTGATTAAATCTACCAATTTCCACTTACCGTAAACTGCTTCTCCGGCGACGAGCCGCTGCTGCTACCCCTGCCCTGGCCTTCTTTCTCCTGCTCCCAGCGTAGCCTCGAATCCAGGACCTTGTCCGGAGTGACCGTGGTACCGCTCGCACCCAGCAAGTTCTTCCGCTGCACGTCCTTCATCTCCTGCTCGCAAACGGTACCCGGCGACCATATGCCGTGGGTTCTAGATCGGCCCTTCAGGGATAGGTTGAGGGGAGCGTCTTCCTCTGGAAAGAAGAAATATGTGACATGATAAGGGTGTACTCAGTTTACTCCCTAGATATCGTCGTTAAAAATATTATACTAATGGCATATCTCGTTTTTTTTTTCACAACTTTTCAGTACAGCACATTATACTAAGGGTCGGCATTTCTGGTTTTCATGTGTACAAAGAGTACGGTCAACACGCTTAGTAAAATAAGATGTACTGAATAAAGACAGAAGGCGAGTATTTTCCCAAGCGCATGGAATCTAGCGTCGGATTAAGTAGTTATGTATAAATACTTCGTATTTTTGCTCACTCCGACTTACTAGATTGCCATAACGACTCACTCCTATGCATGTAAACGCCGACCTAAAGGTTCGCTGGCCGGTATTAATTTTAATACAGTGTGGCGCCTCTCATACAACGCGGAGGCTCCAAGGAGAACGACAGTTTGTATTGAAATGAAATTTTGTGAGCATATGTATGTTAATTCAGAGCACATTTTAAAAATATAGAGAGAGCTGCAGGGTGTCCCCAAAAAAGTTACATATCAAAGTCGTGTTTTTGTATACGCCCTATATATTGATTTTCGGATTCTGGGAGAAAAATAAAGGTGAGTTTTATAAGAGAAGCATATGACTAAAATGTAAGGTTTTTGACATATTTGACATTTTCTAAAAATAAAGAACAATTTTTAAATTACAATAAAAGCTACCTAAATTGGAATTTGCCCGGTATTTCCTAATATACATATAGTTAAATTAACTATTGTACTTTAAATCAAATTAAAATTTGAATTCCAAAAAAGTTATACAAGGTGAGACAAAATGAATATTGAACATTGGTCACCTTTAAAAGCAAGTGACTCTTTTATTTTAAATGGAACACCCAGTATATTATTTCGATATTCAATAGGGAATTCATGTCTCTTCAAAATACTATCAAGGGTGATTATCCCTCAAAAAAAATTTCCTAGATATTTTCATTTATATGATTTAGTGTCAGTAGATCGTTATTATTTGTATATAAAAATATTATTTATATTTTATATAGGTGGCTGTGATATGTCTAATGTTACTTCAACATAGCTGTCTAATTAGTCGACTTTAACAACTAGTTATTATTTTGTGTCTAAAAATTTCTCAGAAATTTGCCGAAAATGCAAACTTATCCTACAATAATTTTATTAGTTGGTGAATGCAGTGTGCGACTTTTAAATGCTTCTGATTTTATCTAGTCTGAGCTTTTTTATGGGGATATGTTAAAGACAGTATTTACAAAACTGGACCTGTAATATTATCTGATATTATTAGAAAGTGCCCCTCCCTAATAGCTAGAAGGTCAATGGGGGACAGTTGAGAAAAACGCGAGATTCCTACGCATCCTAATTGTTAAACTCATGTATTATTTTATATTTAAATAATAAACATATATGATTAAACAATAGTAGTTTAAGTCATACTACATGGCGCAGTCGTATGGGTAAAAAGTGGAATAATACCAAACAATACAAATTGGCGTGGATTGAAGTTAAAAGTAAATAAAAGTACATGTGGATACATAACCTTTAAGTGGTAAAAAACGGAAAACGAAAAAAAATTGCCCGCCAAATTATTAGAGTCCTTTTGTGGTGAAACAAATAAAGAAAAGTTCAAGAGGAAAAATGGATGTTAGATTACCAGAACCACTTTCCTTTGATGGAAATTTAGCGGAAAATTTTCGAAGATTTAAGCAAAGTTTTGAAATTTATCTAATAGCCAGTGGGAAAAGTGAAAAAGATGACAAGATGAAGATTGCTTTGTTACTAAATCTGATGGGTGAAGAAGGGATAGAAGTCTACAACACATTAAAACTAACAGAGTTACAAAGAGCTAATTTTCAAACAGTACTAAATGAATTGGAGAATTATATGACCCCGAAAAAGAACGTAGTGTATGAAAGGTTTCTATTTTACTCAAGGAAACAAGAAGATGAAGAAACATTCGACCATTTCTATACTGAATTGAAAAAGTTATCAAAAAACTGTGAGTTTGAGCAGTCGACTGATTCAATGATCAGAGATAGGATTGTCTTGGGTATCAAGTCGAGGCAAGTCCAAGAAAAACTACTTAACGTAGACAAGTTAGATCTCAATAAGGCCATTGAGCTCTGTCGAGCATGTGAAATCGCAAAATCCCAAATAAAAAGTGTACAAGGTGCTGAAGCTAAAGTTGAAGTTGTTAAAAACAAAGCGAAGACAGTACAAAGGCATGGCAATACTGAAGAAAAAACATTAATAAGCTGTAAAAGCTGCGGAAAGAAACATGAAAAAAGAAGATGCCCAGCATTTGGCAGAAAGTGCAACAAATGTAGGCGCTATGGACATTTTGAGAAGATGTGTAGAAGCACAATGATGGTGAAGGAGCTACAAGAAAGTAAAGAAGAAGAAGAAGATGAAGAACTCTTAGTATCTGTTGTGACAGTGAGTGAAGTGAAAAGTGAATCGGAGTGGATAGAGACATTAGAATTTGGTAAGCAAAATATTAGATTTAAGGTAGACACAGGGTCTCAGGTTAATTTGATTCCACAACATATACTTAAAAGTATTAAAAATCAAGATATTGCATGGCAAAAAACAAAATTGGTACTTGAAACCTATGGAGGTTTTAAAATAACGCCTATAGGTGTAGTAAAATTAAAATGTAAATTTAGAGATAAGGATTACACAATACAATTTGTTGTTGTAAAAGATAAATCTATGCCTATTTTAAGTCTACAGTCGTCCATGACAATGAATATTTTAAAGAAAATTAATGAAGTTAATTTAGGGTTAGATAAGAACAGTTTTATTAATAATAACAAAGATTTATTTATAGGAATAGGGAAATTTAAAGAACAATGTAAATTAAAAGTAAAAAACAATGCCAGTCCTGTGGCTAAGCCACCCAGAAGGGTTCCTTTATCAATAAAAGACAGGTTGAAAAAACACCTGGATGCTTTAGTTAACAAAGGCATTATTGCTAAACACCAAGGACCGACTGAATGGCTTAGTAACCTAGTTATTATTGAAAAAAGTGACAAAACATTAAGGGTATGTTTAGATCCCAAGAATCTTAACGAAGTATTAGAAAGAGAATATTTTGAGATACCAACCTTAGAAGAAATATGTGTTAAACTTAAAAATAAAAGCTACTTTACTGTACTAGATTTTAAAGATGGGTTTTATCAGGTAGAGTTAGATTTAGAGTCAAGTAAACTGTGTGCTTTTGGAACACCCTTTGGAGTGTATAGATTTCTTCGTCTACCATTTGGGTTAAATTGTGCCCCAGAATATTTTCAAAAATTAAATCAAGAACACTTTGGTGATATTCCGGGAGTGATAGTTTACTTTGACGATATTCTTATAGCGGCTGATACGTCAGAAGAACATGATAAGATATTAACTAGAGTGTTAGAAAGAGCAAAGAAATATAATGTCAAATTTAACAGCTCTAAAATTCAGTATAAAGTAAGAGAGGTAAATTATTTAGGAAATATTTTTGACAGGGAGGGTATGAGGCCTGATAAAAATAAAATTAAAGCAATACAAAATTTGGAACAACCAAATAATAAGAAAGAATTACAAAAACTTCTGGGAATGATTAATTATTTAAGAAGGTATATACCCAACCTGTCAGAGATATCTGCACCACTGCGAATATTATTAAAAAATAACACTGACTGGATATGGACTGATAATCAAACAAAGTGTTTACAAATGTTAAAAAATATTGTTAGTTCAGCTCCAGTATTAGCTAATTTCGATGTAAACAAAGAAATAACAATACAAACAGACTCAAGTCAAAGCGGTGTAGGGTGCGTGTTGTTGCAGGAAAATAGGCCTGTTGCTTTTGGATCACGTGCTCTTACAGATAGTGAAACTCGTTTTAGTCAAATTGAAAAAGAAATGAATGCTATACTATATTCATGCCAGAAATATCACAGTTATATTTACGGTAGGAAGGTTAAAATACTAACTGATCACAAACCCTTAGTATCAATAATGAAAAAAGGTGTTGCAGATGTAAGTTCTCCAAGATTACAAAGAATTAAAGTAAAATTGTTGAAATATGACATTGACGTTCAGTATTTACCAGGAAAAGATATGCTTATAGCAGATCTTCTCTCAAGAAATTATATTAAAGACGATATAGGTAGTGATAATACATTTTTGACAGAAATTGTTCACTCAGTAAATGTAACTGATGATAAATTAAAGGTATTTCAAAGTGAAACGAGTAAAGATTTTGAACTAAAATTATTAAAGGAAATTTGTTTAAAAGGTTGGCCTAAAACAATAACTAAAACACCAAGTCCTATAAGAAAATATTACAACTATAAAACTGACATATATACTTCTAATGATATTATGTTTCTAGGAGATAGAATAATTGTTCCAGAGACTTTAAGGACAGATATGCTTACACAACTTCACGCAAATCATTATGGTATCACTAAGACACAAAAAAGGGCTAAATCTTTATTGTATTGGCCAGGAATAAATGAAGATATTAAGGAATTTATAAAGAAATGTAAGAAATGTGAAGTATATCAAAAGAGTAACATAAAAGAGCCCATGATTTTGAGAAAAATACCTGATTTGCCATTTCAAAAACTAGCAAGTGACATTTTAGAGTGGGGAGGTCAGTCATATATAGTAATTATTGATTATTATTCAAAGTGGATTGAATTAATTTGTTTACAATCAAAAACGTCTAAATCAGTCATTGATGTATTTAAACAAGTTTTTAGCACACATGGAATACCATTAGAAGTGGTATCAGATAACATGCCATTTAATTCATACGAATGTAAAAAATTTGCAAAAGAATGGGGATTTAAATTCTTGACATCGAGTCCAAGATACCCCAAATCAAACGGCCTTGCAGAACGAGCCGTGCAAATTGCTAAGAATATGCTGAGAAAGTGTACTGATATTAGCAATGCTTTATTGGAATATAGAATGACACCTATTTCCGCCTCAGAAAAGTCACCAGCAGAATTATTGTTTAACAGAAAACTACAAACTAAATTGCCGATTAAGACAGAATTATTAATACCTAGCAAAATAAATTATGAAAAGGAAAAAGAAAAGCTAGAACAAAAAAGACAAGAATATAAGAGCTACTATGACAGGTCAGTAAGGGAGAGAAAAGAGTTTGAAGAGGGAGAAAATGTTGTAGTAAAAGAAGGTAGAATATGGGAGCCCGGAAAGATAATCAGAAAATTGGAAGAGCCAAGATCATATATAGTGCAGAAAGAGAATGGAAATGAAATTAGAAGAAACAGTTCCCATTTAAGGCAGTCACTAAATGAAGGAAATTTTAATCAAAACCATGAATTTATTTTAAATGAGGGTGTTGATATTCCAAGTAATGATATTCCAAGCAATGATATAAGTATTAGCATAAATCGGGCAACTGACAAAAGCAGGAGGCCTGTTAAACTGCCTCAGCATTTTAAGGATTTTCATATGTATTAGCTTTACTCTAATTCACTAGTAAAAGGGGAAGATGTAATATTATCTGATATTATTAGAAAGTGCCCCTCCCTAATAGCTAGAAGGTCAATGGGGGACAGTTGAGAAAAACGCGAGATTCCTACGCATCCTAATTGTTAAACTCATGTATTATTTTATATTTAAATAATAAACATATATGATTAAACAATAGTAGTTTAAGTCATACTACAGGACCAACTAGTGTCGACAACATGAGAGAAACGATTGTAGCTGCTTTTCGAAGGAGAACTCCACATATGCTTTTTAAAATGAAAAGATCTTTTGAAAAGACAATCATTTTATGCAGTTTACAGGAAGGGAAGCATTTTGAGCATTTGATTTCATCTACCTAATTTTTAAATAACTAACTTTTAAATAGCTAATTTTTGTCACATAATTATAGGTTTATATCTAGTTCTGTAATAATTAAAATATGTTTTAAACGTGTATCTTTTTATTACCGTTGACTACTGTACTTTATATCCTTTAATTTTTGTTAAATTAACAAAAGCTATATCACATCCACCCTAGATTTTTTCAAATGATAAAAATCTACTGACGCAAAATCATAAAAATTAAAATATCTTGGAAAATCTTAGTCTGAGGGTTAGGCAACCTTAATCATATTTTGAAGATATATGAATTCCCCATTGAACACCGGAATAATATACTGGGTGTTCCATTTAAAATAAAGGAGTAACTTGTTTTTAAAAGTGATTAATGTCCCCTATTACTTTTGTCTTACCCTATATAACTTTTCGTCTAAAATTTTAATTTGGTTTAACATACAATGACCTTATACAATATATAAGGTCAACTAAAATTTAGATAGTTTTTATTACAATTTAAAATTTACTGTTCATTTTCACACAATGTGAAATATGTCAAAATCCTTACATTTTAAGAATATGTCAACCACTCAATACATGATCGATATTTAAAAAACTATGATTTTCAAAAATTCAACTGATTTTTGTATATATTAGTTTTATGTTTACTTACCCACTTTGGCCTTTTCAGGTACGAAGACGGCATCGCTGGATGTAGCTTGATCCGGACTCAGCGACTCCGGTCTATTTGCTGGGCTATAGGGTAGGAACAGGCCCGGAAGGGGGTACCACAGATAAGGGGGGTAAGTAGGAATACTGCGCCTTAATGAGTTGGCGTACATAAGAGCGCCCATATCTGTAATAGAAACAAATCAAAATTATTAATATTTTCAATTTTATGTGATAAAAAAGGAAAATATTTGTGTATATAAATTGTATATTAAATCCTATTTTGTTTGCAAAAGAGCATAAAGAGTTTGTATTGATAAAAGTTTGCGGTCTTCACGAACCTATACCACTTTTTGTGAAACTTTTTGCAAACTTGAAACAAAATTGTTTAGTTTCAGACACCATTAATCAATAAGGTAAAAAATATTCTTATACAGGGTTCGGCAATAGTGCGTCGGGCATCTGTAGCTCCTATAATAAAAAACATTTTTTTTATAAATGCAGATCTCAAGTAGGTAGGTAAACTTGAAGTTTACACTTAAACAAAATTCCCAAGTTTTTTGTTCCAGGAGCTACAGATGCCCGACGGACTATTGCCGGACCTTGTAGAACTTTTAGAAGGTGAAGAACTGCAAATTTAATTTGACTGCAAAACCCGACAAATCCACATAAAGTCAAATGTTAAGAAATTGAAAAAAAACTGTTTTGAGTTGTTAAATAATAAATATAAAGTCAATAATAGTTAGGAGATGTGTTTTAGCGCCTCTCCTATTCAACATATTCAACCTCTCCTATTCAGCAAACTGCAGGAGAGAGGATTGGGCATTAGATACAGATATGACGGCGGTCTGTTCAACATAAAAAGACTGAGGGCAAAAATACGTACAAAATTCACACAACTCAGGGCCGGATCTACCTACGGGCTGTTTGGGCTGCAGCCCAGGGCCCCGAGGTTACAAGGGGCCCCCAGGCCCCGCGAAAAACAATAGACCCTTAGTTGAATGAACAATAGACCCAACTGTTGAATTGTGAAATAAAATTAAAATTCAGGTTAAAAGTTTAAGCCAGACAAGATGGCCCCCTTGCCACTATGATGCTGTCAAAGCCTTAAAAAATAATTATGATGACATTATGAAATTTTTCAAAAGTTTCAGCGAAAATGAGGTTGAGAAAGTTGATTTCCGGAAAGAGGCACGAAATTTATTCAATAAAATGGCCAAACTCGAGACTGCAATTTTGATTACCTTTTGGGAAGAAGTTTTGGAGAGATTTCATTTAGTTAATAAAAAAATACAGAGCCCTGGTTTAGACATTTGTGAAGCCAATAAGTTAATTGTTTCTTTAAAAGACTTTGTGAGCAACATACGAGATCAATCAGATCAAATGTTACAGGAATACGACGAAAAAGCTAAAAAATTAAGTACTAGTGTAATAATAGACTACAATTACATAAACAAGAGACGCATTATCCCAAAATTTTCAGATAAGTTTACAGGTGAATTCTCAGTATACGGCGCAGAAAGATTTAAAGAGACACGTTAAAAGTTGCGTTGGATAAGCTGATTATGGATTTAAATAAAAGGAGACAAGTCTATGAGACATATGGCAAAAACTTCAAATTTTTAATGGATTTGCAAGACAAAAATATCGAAAACATAGATTTGGAAACTGCACGTCATATTATTGATTACTATCCCGATGACGTAGACGAGCATTTAGTGAACGAGTGCATTCAATTAAAATCGTACTTACTCCAATCTATGTCTGAGTCTTAAACCTCTTGCAGTGACATTTTTATGCTCATGTATGAAAATAAACTTATTAACGTGTTCCCTAACTGCTATACCATTTTAAACATTTTTTTAACATTGCCAATCACTAGCTGTGAAGCAGAACGCTCCTTCTCCAAGATGTCCTATGTAGAAAATAAATATAGGACAACAATGTCGAACCATCGACTAAATAATTTATCACTTCTTTCCATAAATTGTGATCTAACAAAAGACTTGGAATGTGATGACCAAATAACTGTCAATTTCTGTGACTACAACCTATCAATTTCTTTTACTAATTCATAATAAGTAAATAAATAAAATTGTTTTATTGTTATTTTATATTCTTATAAAATATCACTATTTCGGTTTCTCTCTCACCCAAAGTTTGTCTGGAAGAGATTGCTACCACAGCAATAAGGTCGCCTTTTGTACAACTAATACTTGCGTAGATTTAAGTAACATTTATGTTACCTAAATCCACATATCACAAATACCGAAGTCTACAGCAGAATAGGCAGAGAAAGAGAATTGCTCAATATAATAAAAATAAGAAAAACATCATATTTAGGGCATATATTGAGAAATGAAAACGTCTTCCTATTGAGAAATGATACCACGTCTTACAATTGATAGTTAAGGGTAAGATTGAAGGAAAGAGAGGTCTCGGCAGGAAGAAACTATCTTGGTTGAGAAACATCAGAAACTGGACTCACCTAACTTTTGAAGAACTCATAAGGAAAGCCGAGAATCGTGAAGATTTTGCCAATGTGATCGCCAACCTCCACGAAAGAGACGGCACGTAAAGAAGAAGAATAATAATATATCATTATAGAAACAGTTTTTTGTATGGCTATTAGTTGAGTACTTATGTAGGCCTTTAAGTAGTTTCAGCCCAGGGCCCCACAAATTCATGATCCGCCCCTGACACAGCTTCAATACGCTGATGACTGCGCTCCAATTGCTAACCTAACACGTTACAACAATTACAAAGAAATGTTGAACACATATACCTGGGCATACGAAGCTTTGGGCCTTAAGCTAAACATCGACAAAATCAAAATCATGTGCACTCCCTCGGAAGACCTTAACAATGCTATAAAAATCGGAGAAGAACTATTGGAATATGTAGCGAAATTTAATTACTTCGGCAGTTTGATTTCGGAAAAGGCCAATATCGACTCTGAAATTCAGCACAGGTTTAGCAGCGCCTCAAGAGCATTCTGGAAATTAAAAGACAGGGTTTTCTACAATCATGACTTGAGTACAAAAACGAAACTTGCAGTGTACCGAGCAATTATAATCCCCACCATGTTATATGGGAGCGAAACCTGATGGGTGCCGCGCCGGCGCCGTACCGCCGACATCGATACATGAACGCATTAAACTTGCATTAAACAAGTTACAACAGAGACACCTTAGGCAACTCTTAAGAATCCGGTGGTTCCATCATGTCTCAAACGTATCGGTCCTTGAAAAAGCTAACTGCGAGAGTATTGAGTCATGGTTACAAAATCCCGCTTAAGATGGGCTGGTCATGTATGCAGAATGCAAGAAAACCAAAATCTCTGCTTTACGGTGAGCTTGTAGACGGTAAGAGGAGGTCGGGCTGACAACTTAAAAGGTACAAGGACATTTTCCACGAAATCTTAAAGGGGATTAACATGCAGAAGTTCACAATAGAACTCAATGGAGAAAAATTGTAAACTCAGTTAACAGCGACAACCAAAAAGTAAAGAGGCAACAAAGCAATGATATTTTTGAATGTCCGGAATGTGCGGTAGGCCAAATAACATCACGTATCGGGCTTTTCAGTCACAGAAAAGCTCATGAACGAAAACGCCTTGCGTGACCATCTTTTGATGCGTGTCGAATACTCGTCAGCGGGTAATGGCAGTATGTATAAAGTCAATATTTTTGAGCTCGAAAATGACAGGATTTTAGTTGTATGATTGTAGTTAGGTTGCAAGGAACTAGAAGACGAATTAATTAGTAGGGGTAGGTAGGTACAGTGACCAGAAATATCGCATAGGCGGGAACAGCGCCTCTTTGGAAGCCGGAGCCTCGGTTACAAAATCGCGGTATTTTTCTGGAACGGTCGCTATTGTAACGCGACTAATTAGGAACCGGTATTCCCTATTATTAGTATATTTCTATCTAAGTTTTAACCGAATCAATCGAAACTTACTGCTCAGATACTCCTTGGTCTTCTGATCCCTAGGGTACACCAGAGAGAAGGCGCTCGGTCTGGATGGCGTTAGATCGGGGGGCCGGGGGGACGAGGGGCTCGTGCTCCCGCTGGACACCCCCGCGGCCATGCTGCTGTTGCTGTTGGCCGTGCTGCTGTTGGGGCTTGAGGGGGGCGAGCGTAAGGGTGAGCCGCCCGTGTCGTAGTGGTGCAGCTCCTCGATTCGGGGCATCCTGGAAAAGGAGGATGAACCATAAATATTAGCATTTTTGATATTTTTTTTGATTTTTCAAAATATTTATACGAGGAATCTATATCTACATAGTTTAATTGACTTAATTTACAATCACGAAGCTCAAGACTTTTTATGATTTAATTACAAATGCATTTTATACTTGTAAATTTTTTTCTATACTTGTAGTATAAGACGCTCAAATAAGGGTCTCAAAATGAATTTAGCAAAAACTAAAGTATTGTACAACGAACTAGTGGAAAGAAAAGACATTCTAATAAATAACCAAACCAAACCAAACACTGGAAATAGTAGTATACATACAGGGTGTCCCAGAAATAAGTGCAAGTATTTTAACTGGTAGTATAGTTAACCCCAGAAACACGTCTATGAGGTTATTTTCGCGAAAAAAAAATTTTGAAAATTCGAAATTTTTGGAAAATTTTCTTGGAAATGTTTTTAGTTTTAAAACATAATATCTTGATAATATGGCAACATAGGTATGAGATTAAATTTACAAGAAAGAAAATCCAGAAAAGATCCAGTGGTTCTCAACATTTTAGCAAAAAATATTTTTTTTGGAAATTTTTAAAGTAAAATAACTCCGTTATTTTGGACTTATTTGAAAAACGATAAAGAGAAACTATGTTTCTTTTATCGAGATCTACCACCCCTTAAAATACTTGCACTTATTTCTGGGACACCCTGTATATATTTGGGACAACTAATGCACAGCTCGGGATCTCTACTACGAGGGATCAACAGAAGAACTAAGTTAGTATGGAGTACTTATGGAAGAAACTCAATTATATTCAAATCTAGAATGCCACTATCTAAAGAAGAAAACATTCGACCAATGTGTACTACCAGTCATGACCTATGCACAGGGGCGTAGATAGGTGTATGCTATGGGGGTGGTACTATGATTAAGTCGCAAAAAAAATCACCGTCGGAATTTTTTTGTCGAATTAAAACGACGGCGATTTTTTTGTCTTCAAAAAGATATAAAAACATAACACAAAAATTAAAACATAGATTTGTAAATAACATACACAAAAATGAAACAACGACGTTTATTAGTTAATTTTCTATAAACTATAAATAAAAAAAATTAAACTATCAAAAAAAACTCTAAAAACTATAAATAAAACTACAAAACAAAATCAAGTTTTCTAGTACGCTGTTTGGAAAACCTATCAATAACAGCATCAACATTTATTTCAATATCTTTATGGATATTGATTAGAGTTAACCCCACTAATCTGTCCTGGCCAATAAGAACACTTTGTGTGCTTTTAATTAGGTCGAACATATTATAAACGATAAATCAACATAATTAAAAGCATATAAAGTGTTCTTATATGTCGGATATTAATTAAAAAAAATCCTTTCATAGTCAATGACTATTTCAATTCTCGTATCTCGTCAAGCGTCAGGGGGGGGGGTACTGTCCCCCAGTACCCCCCCCCTTATCTACGCCCTTGCCTATGCATGTAAAGCTGGACACTTAAAACCGACATCATAAAGAAACTGCAGGTCGCACAACGTTCAATGGAACGAAATATGCTGTGAGTAACCGCAAGAGCGATAAAGTTTTTTATTCTTAATCTAAGGATAAAGTATAAGATAACCAAGATACCCAGGGTACCGAAAAATGCAGCATTTTAAAATTCGCTCTGTATTACAGCAACTGATGAGAAATTTAGGACAGATCTGTATAAACTATCTTTACTTCTATAAAAAAAGTAGTAAAGCAGTGTAAAAACCGTATATTTTTGTACCTCTACTCGTAAATAAGAAACCATGGAAACACACACGATAATGAGACACCCTATACATTTACAGGCATTGTAATAAAACACATGACACTCTCCCTTTCCACATGACCTGACACAAAACAATTTAGACCCAGGAAGGGACGAAAAAATAAACCCCACAAATCCATTTGAAATATTATCAAGTAAACCAAGCAGTATACCTAAATCAATTTACCATAAAAAATATATAATAGTCTGCCCAGGCACTTAATTTAAATTATTTTTATGTAAGGGTCCGACTAGACACTTGGACACTTGAAAAACACGAGAGTGAAGAAACTTAGTGTATTATATGAATGATTTTATTAGTATTTTTTTCGTAGAAAAAAAATAGTACACTCAACAAGACCCTTATTGTCACATTGAATCAAAAACATCGGCACGAATGGACAGTAAACGATTATTTTTAGCCGACCATACCAACAGGTATGGTAGGCTATTAAGATCGGCAAAAAAAAGTTTTTTTAATTTCACTCAAAATGAGTTATTTGGGTCATAAATGACCTAAATACAAAATATTTTCATGGTGTCTGTCTGTCCGTCTGTCTGTAACACGATAACTCAAAATCCGCTAAACCGATTTTAACCAAATTTGGCACAAAAATACTGTGGCACCCGAGAATCTGGCCATTAGTTTTTGGTGGGGGGGGGGGCAAGGGGGAATGGGAGGGAATTAAAATTTTTAAAAAATCGTAACTTCAAAATTACAGTAGCTAGCGAAACGCGGTTTTCAATTTAAGATTAGGAATAATATTTGCAACAAAATTTGTATAACATCAAAATCAGTCAAAGTCGCAGTTTTTGAGATAAAAAAATTGGAAAAATTCCTTTACTTTGAAACTAAAAAAATTGCCTACCAACTTTTTATTAACATATTTTAGTATGGACGGCTATACGTGTCTCCCGGCGCCAATTTTTTTAGAAAACGGAATATTTTGAATTTAAAGATCTTCATTAAATGATGTTTCTTTTTAAATAGGCGGGTCATCACAAACTGAAAAATAACGCATTGTTTTATGCTTCAGGCATGAGCTATAGATACTTTCTTGAGACATACTGCTTATTCACGCCGGCGCCGCGCCGGTTAGAGCTAAGATGAGATCGAATGTCTCCTGAGTAAAGCGGGTTACACACGTCCAACTTGGTTGGCCTAAAAGATCGGGTCAACCAAATTAGTTATTGCATCCACATTACTTGATTTCATAATAAATCTATCTACAGTTATCAGTTGAATTTCGTTTCCTATAAGTATACATGGCTCCTATATTATTAAAAAATAAAATAAGGTTTTTCTCTTTAAATGACATATGTATCTATTTAGATCATCTAAGGTCTGAGTATTTAAATTATAGCCAGTCTAAAGGAGTGAGCTACGAATTGTCAAAATATTTTTCCAGAAAACTTTTTTAGGCTTTATATATTTTGTTTTATTGTGAAACTTTATTTCTTTATAGTGTGCAATCTCACTTCCCTCGATATATCTACTTTACTTCACCCCCGTGTATACCGGACATCGGACCGTTATCACGCGATGGACGATGATTTTGTCCATTGATCCCCGAGATTGTCCCCATAATTGAGCATGGTTTAATGGGACGGGGAGACGGACATTAGTTCGTTTCTGATTACATGGCGACGATGAACGCAGCGAGGGACACATCACGCAAATGCTACCACAAATTTAATGTATTTTATGCGGATGTGTACTGTATGATTCTGAAAGTTGATGCTCAATGAATAACTGCCGTTGATTATATACCGTATGATCCGAAAAAAAATGGCGCCAAATTTCTTTGGAAATGAAGATCGGCGACATTTACAATATAATTTTACGTATAAAATGACAGCGATTGTCAGTTCCATTGCAAGTCATATCGGAGGTCTTTTTTGCGGTAGTATTTTACTTCAAAAAATATCATACAATAGTATTTACGAAATAAATTGGAAATATTGAGACTCTTAATGCCATTGTCCAGGCATTGCCGACAAAGAGAGTGCCGAAATTAAGAGTTCTAACCTATTCCAATTTACTTCGTAAAAACTATAAACTATACCTATTTGAGTATAAACTAAAGTACAAAATGTTGTTAAATATCAGATTTGGATTTAGCGCCCCAAAAAAACATAAAAATTATATAAATTGAAACTCCCCTATAATACTTTCTCAACAAAAATACAATTATAACTAGTCTAAATACTATACTAAATAACATCTTCTAAATTGAAATTTGAGAAACTTTCAATAGTGGTGTTGAGCTAGTGAATGAGTGATGAACTAGTGATGAGCAAATGCAACATCAAAACCAAGATTTCCTTGGTCTTGCAGTCTAATAAATAGCCTTGGTTTTGGTCTTACAGGCTTAAGTTTTTAGGCCCGTCTTGATTTTGCAACATTTTTGCAACTGTTGGTTCTTGTAGTTATGAAATTGAATTTCTTATAAGCAATTTTACTGTATAAATTGTATTGTCACACTGCAAAAGGTTAAGGTATTTTTCAACTAAAGGTTGATTTTCCCTATACCTTCCGTTGCCATTCCATATCCATTCCATATCCGTTCCGTATTTTAGTATTGAAAATACTTCTGGCCGCGTTTATATGGGACCCATCTTTGAAAAAACGACATGCTAGAGGCGATATGGAGTTCAATAACCTGCCTAATCAACTTGTCAACACGTCGTGAATAGAGCAAGGCCGTCCGAGGGCCGAAATGAGGTCTTATTAGTGTGGGCCAACTATTTTATGGATGTTTAGTCTCTGAAAGCCGATATTATTATAAAAAAGAATATGCGTCAAGGCATGGGTTGTTAAGTACAGTTGGGCTATTTTAATCTAACTCTTTCCGTATGAGAAGCAGGGGGCAAATTATACGTTAAAGGGCGGAATAACATAAATAATAAATTTAGACTAATGGAACTTTTTTCTTGGCGCGTAGGAAAATGCGCACAATCGATGCATTAAAGGGAATAATTAATTAAATCATTAAGTTCCAAAACATATAATAATTCGGGTCTCATCGGATCTGCTGATATATTTTGATAAAAATTAGGCTATTAAGACCTATATTTTTTTATATGATAATAATTTTTTTAATTAACAACTTAGGACAAAGAAAAAGCTTGCATGGTTTCCACCGCCAACGTAAAACAAATGAATTCAAGGCGGTGTCAAATATTTATTGGGATA